AGGGAATGTGTGTGTGTATGTTGCTGTTTATATTGTGTATGCACAAAAATTACAAGCAATAAGTTTGAGCTGAGTTTACAAAAAGCACATCACTGGACCCCTCTGCAGTATCCTTCACGTTTTGACCTCGTTGTCTTTGAAGGACCTGGAGTGCTAGATTAAACCAAAGCTCTTTACATATGATCTCTGACCCTGAAAAGTAAGCTAAACTGTGCTAAATCTGAGCTGTTAAATAGTTCTGATTTAGGTAGGGATGCCCAGCTCAGTTTTCAGACTGAGCAGAATAAGCCTTATATTAAAGCATTTTACTAGAAAACATCTCTCTCTCTCTCTCTCCATTTAGGAATATGAATGAATGCCAATACTGTAATACTTACCTTTGTTTTCTTGGCTGTGCTTTTAGCATACCACTTCCCTGGAGACAGAAATGTATGAAATAATTGAAATGTATGCAGATTTATCGGGCTATTTATTTTCCCATTGAAGGAAGAAGGTTTTATGTCTTCTTCTTGGCAGTTTTGGTACATATCCGTGATAACTGCTTGTAATTAAATAGTGTCTTTAAAAAGCACTTTTGATATACACCCTTTTCTGCTTTGAATTTAGATAGAGTAGCTCCATGAATTCAAACAGCCAGCTTTGATGTTTGTTTCAGCACTTCTTTGAACATGAAACACTTCAGTCATGTTGCGCTCTCTTGGCTGCATTTCAGCCCAAACCCAGCTGTTGGAAGTAAGATTAGTTATTTAAATAGTGAAATTGGGGGGGGGGGTGTAGGCACAATCACTCACTCCCTTAATACACAAGTTGAAAGCGGGGCTCTTGCTGCCAAGGGTAGGCATGAATCCTCTTCATAATTCAGAACTGACAGACTGAGATGAGAAGGAAAAGTGAAATCTTGAAAGCCTTTAGTATAAATGTAAGCATTCAAATTTGAGAATCTGAATTTTAACTTCATAAGGGCCAAGATGAGTTGCACGTGCAAAATCAGATGCTTTTGGTGCTCATGCTTCGATAGTTGCTTAAAGAAAGAAAAAAACCCTGGCCCTCTATCTGTTCCTGATGGACTCCTGACAGCCTTATCTACCAAATGAATCTTTTTCCTGACAAGTGGCAAGACCAGTGGTGAAAAAGGTCCCAGCTCAGAAAATGTAGTATGAAATGTAGTATGAAAATTTTCATTTCAGGACAGTCTGCAGCAATGAAAATTTTCATACTACATTTCATACTACATTTTCTGAGCTAGGACCTTTTCCACCACTGGTCTTGCCACTTGTCAGGGGGAGGAAGGAACCCAGATGTTTTCTATAGCTTTGAAATACTAGAAATCTTGCATCTCTGTTCAGTGGGCTATAGAAGGAAAGGGGAGGTGTGAAAGCCTGATGCTATGGCTTCTTGGATCCAAGCAGGAACACATTTTATAGCTGGGCATCTCTGAAAGCCCAAGTCCATGTCGTAGTTTACTAGTTTCTTACACGTCACCTTCATACAGAGACCCTTTTAGCCATCTGTTCTTGCTGGCCCATACAAAGCATCACTTTAGTAGATGAGGTGCTGTAGCAGCATGGCTCATCAAAACGCTTAAGCTGAAGAATTATCTCACTAGGCATGGTTTTACTCTCACATCAGTGTAAATCAGATTACAAGGGGGTCATCCTTCTTAGTAGGAACAGCACACAGCTTGATACAATCAGCAGGGGTTAAAAAAACCCAAGCCCGTTACTATTCTTTTTTTGATTCCACTAATGTCTTTTGCTCCTGCAATGGTGGTGAAGCAATGGTTACTTTAGGGAAGCCCTTCCATAAGAAGTTTAAGGACTGGCCTTATGAAGCAGGGCAGTAAACCTTCATTTAGTTACTGACTTCAGTAGGAGCAGGATGGCAGCTACGGTTTGTTACTTTGCCATCAGGGCTGGCACAGAAGACTCCTAGAATCTCTTCTTATATCTATATAAGGGGAGCATACTGAAAACAAGCAAACACCTAAAGAAGGCCGGAAGACTGCTAATCCTGCAACAGATTCTCAAAGAGCAGCAACACAAATGACTGCAGTTCCTTCTGAACTGTGCTGGATTTAGCTAAACTCAGGGGTCTTGTTGTAGAAAAAGAGCTGCCGGAGCTCATTAGCATAACTCATTAGCATAACTTATTTGCATATGCCACGCCCCCTGACATCACCGGAAGTGACAGAAGGCCACACCCCCTGACATCACCGGAAGTGTGTCAGAAGGCCCGGCTACTTACCCTCCTGCTTCATCCTCATTCCCAAACGGAATGAGGATCGAAGCAGAGGGCGGGGTAAAGAAAGGGGCGGGGCTTCACCACGTGACCGCCCCGCCCCCTAGAGGTTCTCTTCCGGAGCTCCGTACCTGAGAGCTCCCCCCCGACTAGAGCCCTGGCTAAACTTAACAGATTCACCCTCTATTTTTCCGCCTATTAAACTGTTTCAGGCTCTCTTTGGTTCAAAAATTCTGAAGGCTGTGACATTCCAGAGGCTGGAGAGAGGTTTCTGTGATATTTTGTGTACCAATCGGTGCCGTAACTAAGGGCTGGATTAGGTCAAATATTGGGCCACAAATCCAGACCAGACTCCCCTTCCCCACAGCCAGAGGACAGGTACAGGAATGGAAATTTATTTCCTCAAGCATGGTGGGATCCAATTTAGACCAGGATGATGGCACGGGGCTCCAGCCTACCCTCCCCATGTTGTTATCCCAAGCCCCAATGACCCCATTTGTCTAAAAGAAATATATGCATTCAAACACCAGAAAGGCCCATGCCAGACACATTGACTGTGGTGTGTTTTCAAATGCAAACAACAATATTTTCTCTGAAGTTTAGGGACCGGACCTCTGAAACATCTGTCTTTTTGCTAGTCTCCTGGGACGCCGTTGCTAGGCCTCGCTTCAAGAGTCACCAACAGCTTTGCAGCATTGCTCCTGGCACACCCCAGCTGCTCTGGCATGTGGCACTTGTTCTTTGCAAAGACCGAGTGTTCTGTGGCCCAGTTGATCTACCCAGTAAGAGGTCCCTGTAAACATGCCGGGGGGGACTTCCTACTCCTGAAGCTGTTCGTCTCAATTGATCACAATCAGCGAAGTACCAGCAGTAGTTCTTATAGATTGATTTATGCCCTGCTTTTCTCCCCAGTGGTGACCCCAAAGCTGCTTACAACGTCATTCTCGTGTCTTCTGTTTTATCCTCACAACAACCCTGTGAAGTATTTTAGGCTGAGAGTGTGTGACTGGCCCAAGATTACCCAGCCAGCTTGCACGGAAGAGTGGAGAATTTGGGGTTGATTAAGAAATTCTTTGAGATCTGGGGGCAGTGCAGGACAGAGTTTGGGAGGGAAGGGAGCTCTGCAGGGATATGATGCCACAGAAGCGGCCATTTCCTTCTCCGTGTTGACGAGATCAGTTGTAATTCCCGGAGAACTCCAGGCCTTCCTGGAGATTGACAACCCTATGGGAGTTTGAAACTGGGTCCTCCAGATTCTAGTCCAGCCTTCTAACCATTGTACCACACTGGCTGTCTACCTTCCAGGAGTCATCTTAATTCAGCCCCTCATAAGAATCAGCTGATAGGCTTCATAGCAACCAAAGGACCATTAAGGTTGTCTTTTATGGTACAGTCACTAGTTGTGTACTTGGGCATAATATAAGACATTAGATTTTTGTGTGTTCACAATGTTTCCTTTGGGGATTAGATAGATTCGTGGAGGAGAAGTCTGTCAATGGCTACTATACATGGAGACCAAGGGGAACCTCCACATTCAGAGTCACTAAGCCTCTGAATCCCAGAGCCAGGAGCAATGCTCCCTCTAAGCTGTGGAGTCTTGTGAGCAAAAATTCTACTTTGTGAGCTACTGGCTTTAAAGTTGTGAGCGAGCGATTTGGCTACTGCATAAATTAGTTTGCTCTGGAGCCATCCTTCCTGAGCGAAGACAAAAAAGTGTGACCCGGAAGCTAAAAAAGTGTGGGCTAGCTCACACTAACTCAGCTTAGACGGAACACTGGCCAGGAGGCAACATCAAGGGAAGGCCTCGGCCTCCATGGCTTGTTGATGGCCATCAAGAGGAACTGGTTGGGCACTGTGTGAGACAGGATGCTGGACTAGATAGGACCATTGCTCTGATCTAGCAGGGCTCTTCTTATGTTCTTGTGTGTGTTGTGTATAAATAGGTTGCTCAAGCATTGGCCTTACTTCTTGTGTAACTCGCAACAAGGCACTAATACACCAGGTTTTTGTTTGTTTGTTTTGGGGAGTGGATGTGAATTGTCTGTGGCTTTGAAAAATCATGAAGGCCTGAGAGTCTGCATCTCTGATCTGAAAGCTCAACGATTGTTTTCACAGTTGAGTTTGTGGATATTTATAGCAAACATTTGTAGTTTACATGTAAAAGGCATGGTGGTGCTGTTCGTCAGGTCTGTGATTTTTGTGCTATGGCAGTGCTGTTTTTGCGCTATGGCTGAGCTGTGGCTCAGTCTGTTCTTCATGGAATCTATGGCTATGGATGTGAACGCTGGAATGTCTCTGAATAAAACTCAAGAACTGCAGAGATTCAATTTGTATCCCCCCCCCCATATTGTATTAATCAGTAGGGTTATGGGGCACCACTCTGTTTCTTCATTTAGCAATTTTTAAAAAACAAATGGAATAAATGTATACCCCAACCTTTAACGCATGGTCTAATGCAATGCACTGACCCTGGAAAAAGTGCTCCTCCTTCCTCCTGTAACAGAAGCAAAACTGAGAACAAACATATAGCCTAGAATAGATGGCCTTCGTTTTGCTGTTTTCTTCACCTTAAATCGATTCTCTCTCTCCCTCCCTCTCCCCCTCTGTCTCTCTTTCCCCCCTTTTTGCTCGAGAGGGAAACTTTAGTGACGTTCCCTGTGCTCCTGACCGGCGCTTGCGATGCCCACCAGCGTCCGCCAGGGGGTTGCTCTCATGCAGGCCAACATTCAACAGTGTGAATCCCGCCACAGTCCTGGGCGTTTTGTTGATGTCGCAGCGGCATCGCAGGCGAAAGAGACGGGATTTTCCCCCCTTCCCTCCACGCGGAAAGGAAAGCGGCGTGGGCATGCCTCCCTCCCCGCTGTGATCTCTCACGGGCTTCTCTGTTTGGGATTCACTTGCTTGGGATTGCAGAGGATCTCCTTCCCCCCGGCCAGTGGAAGCAGCGAGAAAAAAAGGCGAGAAACTGCAGCCAGCCCCAGGACTGAAGGTAAAATCCCAGAGGAGCCGCTGCCTCTTGGGTCGGCCGGTCGGGTTGTCTCTCCGCTGCGCGCCTCGGTTTCCCTTCCCCCTGAATCTGGCGTCTCTCAGGAGCTCGATCTGGAGTGGCAAAGGCAGGCGGAGGGCGTGTGTGTTTCCTTAGGGGGCAGAGGAGCGCAGGAAAAAAATTGCGCATCTTTGATTGTGCAATCGCGTGGAGTTGGCAAGCCCTCCTCTCTTCGCCTCTCCCCCGCGGAGCCCTGCAGCGGAATCGCAACCCGAGCCAACTCAAGTTTACTCGGAAGTAAGTCGCGGGTTGGGAGGGGGTTTAGTTGGGATTGATTTCAAAGTATGGCTGAGATCGCGCCGTTGCAGCAGCCCGATTCTGGGCATTTTTACTCGCAAGCAAGTCACACTAGGTTGTGTTGAAAAGGGACTCGGGGCTTCTTTTCTGGCAAATTATAAGAATAATCTATTTTTTTTAAAAATCCCAAGGAAGGGCACTTAATTTCTCGTCCCTTCTCTCTCTCCCTCGCCCCCAATGGTTGCTTGATGGTTTGAATTAAGAGCCTGCAAGCGTTTCTTTTAAAAGCCTTGCCTCCTTGGAGTCATGTGCTTGGCTGTTGCTTCTGTTCCACGGCTTTTCTCAGGAAGCAGAATATGGAAAGAAGGAATGTAAAAAAGAAAAGTGGGGACTGGGGGCGAGAGTTTAGTACCTGGTGAAGAGAGAGGGAGGTTGCGGTGGGATGTTGTGGCTTTTGTTAAAGCAGCCAGTCTACCTAGATTTTTTAAAAATTAAAGATCCCCATGCATGACACAACCGCATTCCACAGATCAGAGGGTTTTTTCCCTCCCCTCTGGAAGAAGCTGAAGATTTGGTGCTGGGAGCTGGCCGGAATCTTCTCTTTTTTTGGAAATTCTGTCCGACATCTGGCTTCTCAGCCCCTCCTTTGAATGCAGTGCTGGAGTGGGAGCTCCCTTCCAATTTTATTTTTTAAAAAACCCTTTCCAGTAAGGATGAACAAACCTTTCAAACAGCACACACCTAACACAGATACCGGAAGTTGCATTTGCACACTCTTTTCAAGCGCCTGGCGTGCTTTCAAAACGGAGGAGGGAAAGCAGCGCCCCACCGCAACGAAACGGTGCGTGAGCTTTGGTCACCGTGTCTATTGTTTGTAAAAAAAAAACCGAAAAAACCCAATAACTGGAAGTGAGAAGATCAGGGTGGGAAGGCTTTGGAAAGAGCAGCATTCTGAACTCGTCTTTGAAACGCGAGGACATTTGCGGAGACAAACTTGGCAAGGAGCACTCCTTCTCTCCCCCCCCCCAACCCCCCATCCCAAGGGGGCCAGATTCGGTGGCTCCAGCCCTGCCTTTCCCCCGACTTAAGGGATCGGACCCGGCTTCTGCTCAGGGAGCTCTTCTTTTACTGCCTCGAGGGCGTCGCTGACCGGTTAGTCTGGGTCTGCCGCGCTGCACAGGACTGATCTGTATCTCTGCCTGGAGGTGAAGAACCAAGCTGAGATCCGGCATCAACAAGTGTTGTCTGCGGTGATGATTGGGGGGGACGGGACGGGGAGGCGACGGCGACTTGGCTGGCGGGGAGCACCGAGGGGGCCCCCTTCTGAACTCTGGCCCAGCCCAGCAGCCCTTCTGCCGCCCCCTCCTCTCTGCAGCCGCAAGGCGGGAATCTCGAAAGCGAGCCCCTTTCCTTGGCGAACGGTCTTTGTGGCGGCGGCTGAGGGGAAAAGAGGCCCAGCCTGGGCCGAGGTGGCTGGGTGACCCGCTTGTGTTCCCTCACCCGGAGTGGCTGCCGGGCTAAGCTCATGAGGGAGGGAAGCGGCACACGGTTATATAAGCGGCAGGGCCCTGCTGGCTGCTTGAGGGGCGTGGGCGTGGCCAAGGCGGGGAGCCCTTCCAAGCCCTTGGGCCATCCACTCAGCCCAAGGAGCAGGACAAGGCAGGAGAAATGCTGGGAAACGGAGAAGCGGCCCAGGGTTGGTTGTCCGGCTTCGGACCCTTGTCAGCGGTGGATGCTCCAGCCCTGCTTGAAAACAAATGGGGGCCTTTGCGGAACTCACTGGGGCCCCTGTAATCATGGATATCCTGTCACATTATTGTAATGATTTTAATTGTGAAATACGGAGCAGCTGGCAAACAGTCATTATCACCCTCTTATTAGCCTACACAGCAATTTCCGTTTTTGCAGAGCCGGATGACAGATCGCCAGCTTAACATCTGCGTTACATTTGGATGAAACCAGTTAACCTATGGGAGTGGTTTCGTTTGTGGCCTGCGGGATCCTTGCCTCCTCACGCGTTGTGACACGGAAGCTGAAGCTGGTGGAAGATTTCTCGGACACAAAAGTCCGTCTTCAGAACTAAAAAAGGGACTTGGGCGGTTGCTCGCTTGATCTGGCTGAGTTGCACATATGGAGCCCTGTCCAAAAAGCTGTTTAGCTTTAGGAAGGAGGGACTATATCCACCATCTACCATCCTGCTGACTCCCCTCTTCCCCCCCCCCACCAAATAGTTGATTAGTTAGTTTTCTGTATAGGGTGAGTGCATGCTAGGCAGCTAGCTCTGGCAGAGTAACAAATGTGTGCAAAACCAGATGCACATTCAGTTTGTCGTACAGGTAGTACATACCATATTTATTTATTTATTTATTTATTCACATGTATAGCCCGCCCTCCCCGCAAGCGGGCTCAGGGCGGCTCACAAATAGGGCAACATATGCCCGTAGTTAAAACAGTAAAAACAAGATAAAACCAACTGAAAGGATAGCAAACCCTGAATGTCAAACAATCCCTTAAAAAAAGGTTATATACAAAGGTGGTGATGGTGGTGGTGGCTGTTACTGTACATAACTGTAATGTGCAGATTTAAGCTGACCCCCTTTTTCCTTTACGGTATGTGGGAAGAAAACCTAGTTTTCTTTTCAGGTGGGTAGGGTATTTGGAAACCTGGTGCCCTGTTTGTATTGCCCTAGCTGTTCTTGTAAATCTACCTGTGCAATACATTTTTTCAAAAAATGATACTAGATGGCACTCCCAAAATTAACAATCCATGAAATTTATGAACAGCTGGCAACCCTGAGTTGGCTGACTGGGCGGGTGTTTTTACAGTTCATATTTAAAAACTGCAATCCAGTCTGCTTTTTTTTCATATGACGGACAGGGTCTAGAAGCACAAATACAGCCCAGAGCCAAACCTGAGCTCGCTTTGTAATTTATGGTATTCATATTCTTGTTCAGGCACCTTACGAAACTTTTTTTTCAAGAGTTGCAGTCTGATTTGATAGCCTCTGGTTTGGACTGCTGAGGAAGTAATGAGTTTTCACATGCTCAGATACTTCATACTAGGTAACCCAATCGCTCGTGTATATGTAGTATTGCTGTCTGTCAGTTGCTGAACACTGTTCTGTTTTGTTTTTAAGCTCAGAATGGATAATCAATTGGCTCTTTAACATTCACACCACTGCAAATGACTTCATTAGTATTTAATTTTGTAAACATCTCTGAGTATCCTAAAAGAAGTGATGAGTGATACTTCATCTGGCAAATTCCTGTGTGCCAGAAACCTCTCAAAGGCCCTAGAGCTCTGCCAAGAAATAAAGTTAACAGCTCTGCTTAAAACTATGCTGTACGCTTTAGGCTGGTGGAAACCAACACAACTTCTGATTGATTTATTTATTTGTATTGTGTGATCACTGTATTTGTTACT